TTTTCAGTCCACATATACAAGACATGACTAATATCCAAATTAGATAAATAACTACAAATTAACAAATAAATTGCAAGCCACTGAACAAAAAATATACACAAAGACTATAAAGAGAATTCTTAAAAGAAGTAGGAGCCAGAATGTAAAAGAAACATATGAAAAGGTGCTCAACATTACATGTTATTAGTGAAAATGCAAGTTAAAACCACAGTGAGAGTCCATTTACATCCACAAGACTGGTCAAACGCTAAGAAGTTTTATGAGAATTTAAAGGAAATGGGAATCATTATATATTGCATGTGGGAGTTTAAATTTATAGAACTGCTTTAAAGAGTGTTTTGCAGCCTAATGGGGTCTGGCTTTAGCAGTACTGAGTTTTCTTTCTCCCTCCTTTCTTCCCACTCTCCTCCCTCCCTCCATCGTTGAGTTCCTCCCTCCCTCCCTGGCAGAGATTGTACTTGTTATTTCAAAGAGAAATAATTGTTCAGGATGTAACAAGTATTCACAGGGGGCTTTACTACACTTATAAAACTTTGATTCCATAGAAAACACTTTTGGGAAAAAATTTTTTTTTGATGGTTGAGTTCCCAATTTCACTAAAAGGAGTATATTTAACCCATGATACATTTGAAAGATAAGGTTGTTGTACCATTTAAATTATTTAATTCATTCTTATAAAACTGATCTGTGACAAACTGTGTAATAAAATTCAGCTTTGAGGATGAACCTATATCTACCCCATCACTTCCAAACTAAAAGTGAGGATGAAGAAGATAAAATACCTACTACTGGTACTAGTGACATGGTAATTTTACCTTTAATGTAGGTAAGTTAACTTTCTAGCCAGCACTTCCTAGGTATGTTGATACTTCAAGATCAGTGGTTTTAACCATGAAAATGAGAGGTGAATGGGGGAGGGGTGAGGAGGACAGTTATGAGAACAAGCTGGATTTGAAGAGTGCATTTGAACTCTTCATGCATTCACAACTCGTTATTGAGTAACAACTATATTAGTCTGCTTGGGCTGCCATAACACAATTCCACAGACTGGGCATTTACTGCAGAATTTTATTTCCTAACAGCCCTAGAGTCTGGAGGTCCAAGTATAAGGTACCAGCAGAGTGGTTCTCCAGTGAGATTTCATTTCCTGGCTTACAACTGGCCACCTTGTTGTGTCCTCACATGGCCTTTCCTTTGTGCTACACCCCTGGTATCTTTTTCTCATAAGGACACCTATCCTAATTGGACTAGGGCCTCACCCTTAAGACTTCATTTAACCCTAATCATCCCCTTAAAGACCCTGTCTCCAAACAGTCACATTGGGGATAGGGCTTCCACACATAAATATTGAGGGACACAATTCAGTCTGCAACACCAGTCATATGCCTGCCACTGTTGTAAAGGCTGGGGACACATTAGTGAACAAGACAAAGGTTCTTCCCCTTGTTGGGCTTGTGTTCTAAAGGGAGGTGGCAAACGGAATATTAATTATAATATGTAAATAAATTATGTAATATGTTAGAAAGCAATAAATATTATAGAGAAAAGTGAAAGAGAGGTGGAGTAGTAGCACAGATTTGGGGGTGATTGACAATTTTACATAGAGGAATCAGATTCGGCCCTATTGAGTAGCTGACATTGAGTTAAACCTTGAAGGATATGAGGAAATTAGCAGTGTAGATATCTGCCCTTGTTAGTCCGGTGTTTATTCAGTTGAGAACAACAGGCTTTATTGAGAAGCTTTGGTGGACTTGATTAAGAGTCAGATAACCTTAGTGCAGGCTCTAGCTTTGTGTGACCTGGGGCAAGTCAGCATCTGCACTAAATTACATAACCAACACCATGGGGTTAATGAATTCCAGATGCCAGGATGTTTCAGCGCAGATCATCCCTGTGTTAAATGAAAACTGGGAAAACAAATTGCTTCAGTGCTGAATTTGAACTCCTGCAGGAATCATTGAGAGCCAAGCTTATCAGGGATGGAGAGCCTCTTTCCCCAGATTCAGAGCCTTTCACTGTCCCCTGGCTTTCATTGCACTGCCAATAGGATAGCACTTTCTTTGGTGGGGAAGATCAGAGTGACCTCATTAATGATATTGATAAATATGTCAGTCAGAGGCATTCCAAAGGGCTTTGCTTCAGAGTCTAGGGATCCATTTCTGCTTTGGATGAGGCAAAATTATTGATGGTATTCAGCAGCTCCACGGATGTTAAATATCAAATCATGAGTATTTAAGGAGCAGGCCTAGAATTACACTTTACTCAGCAGCTAAGGAAATAATTCTGTCAACCCCTGATTATCCATGTTAATAAAAAATAAAAACATCAATGCTTATAATACAGGAAATCTATAAACTCTTGCCATGGAAAGGGAAAGGTAGCAGAAGATACCCCTTGGTGAAGGAAGAAGGAATTCGGAGCGTGAGCAGCAGAGGGTCACGAAGCCCTGATTGAAGTTCAGGTAGATTAACCTGAGAGCAGCTATAGTAGAGAATAAGGGAAAAGGAAAATTTAAGAAATGTATGAATATTCATTAAAAAGGAATGTTGTTCCTTTTTTTTTTTTTTAAAGAAAAAAAGTACATAGGCAGAATATAATTCCTGCTCTTTCCTTGTTCTATAAATGAAGTGCTTCTTCTATGTCAGACTCTGGGCTGAACTCTGTAAAAAATAACCCAATCCCTGATTTTCCAGGTGACAGTCTAGTCAGGGAGAATAACAGGAAAACTAAACAACTCAATGTGGCAAGGCCATGGTGGCATAATGCACGGGGACCTCTGGTAGCCCAGCAGGAAGCCCCTCTCCAAGAGCAAAGTGAGTGTGCCAGATGAGGGTGTCCAGAAGCAGCCCAAATCTTCTTGCATGTTATAGGACGAGGTCCAATTAGCTATGCCTCCACACTGTCATTCAACACACATTCATTAAGCAGTCTTGGCATGTGACACAAACATTCGTGCTGAACTCCAGGGGCGAATAAGATGCATTCCAGCTTTTGAGGATTTAGACTCTGATACAGGGAAACATATAAAAAGCTCACGAATGTGTCATTGGGTACCAAGGGGAAGCTACGTGAAGATGCAGTAGCAGCTCAGGTCTGTTCCACTCTGGGCAACTGTGGCGTAAGGAAAAGCGGCCAGTGTCTGGGAAGACGAGTAGGTGTGCAGTGTGTGGAGTGGAGAACCAGGCTGTTGAACATATAGTAGATGAAACACCAAGACTAAGGGGATGGAGTGGGAATGGTTAGTTGGTAGAACTACAAGTAGTTTCCATTGGCTTCAGTTAATGAGCTGTGAAGAAAAGGGAGAGGGCTGAAGATAGAGAGCAGAAAGCAAGCAAGCAAGGCTTTGTATGGCCTGGACAGGCATTTGGGTTTATTCCATGGACATATGGACATTTGTTAGTGAGAAATAAGGTAAACATTCTGGGATAAAAGCGGGAAAGTATAAATTTAGATTTGGAACCATTCTGGCTGCAGTGTGGATAGACCAGAGTGAGAAGGGACTGGGAATAGCGGCCACCAGCTAGGAGTGTCACCATTAGTCTGGGCCTCAAATATTGAGAGCCTGAACCAAGACTCTATAAGTGAGGGAAAGAGAGACACGTGAGAGTAAAAGTAATTAACAAGACTTGTAACTGATTTTATGACAAGGGTCTTTCGGGGGGAAAGGAGCCAACATGAGTCCCTATCTTCCAGTTAGTGCGATTTAGTGTAGCAGCCATGCTTTTACCAATGGTAGATTATTCAGTAAAATAAGTATTTAACAAATTTTGAGACTTTATGTATAGAGTGCAAGTGCTCCACTAGAGTATAAATTGTTTAATAGATTTTACATTCCTTAAGTACAAGTACTTCATTTCTTAATCACTTTAATCTGTTGTAGTGTAATATTTTAGAGATTGACAAAGCAATGCTTTAACCTAAATTTACCTGATGCACAAAAAGCAAAGATGTATGTAAGTCTTTTGGTTAAAAAAAATTACTGAAGTGACCTGTCTGGTACCGATATGCATATTAAAACAATATTAGATTACTAATGCTTCAATTTTTCTAGTTTTTACATTCTCCTTCAAAAAAAGCTAGCACTGGTGTCATAGGAACATAAGTTAAAGTAATGGTTTGATCTAGATTTAAAAAATAACAACAACATAACTCATTTCTTTCTAAGGCCTAATTCAACTAATTTTACTAGTAGTCATGGCTTTTTGGACTATTAATTTATTCTGAAAAAAACAGAGGCTGTCCTTTATTTCATGTATTATAGTTGTTCAAAGACTGATGTTTCAGGATGAAGTAAACTTATATGGACAACTCTATAGAGAAGAATTTTATGATAGTGTTTCATTGATAATGCTCAGTTGACAAAGTAATTGATATTTCAGGCCTTTTGGCCTAAAGAGTTTTTGTCCTGAATGTGTGGTTTAGATGCATAACACAAGAAAGGAATCTTAAATGGCACTTGCTTGAAATTAGAATGTGATTGCTTTAAAATACTATGGAAAGTTTTATTGCCTTAAACTATTTTAACTGCCATTCTTTTTAAATGTTCTCTATAACGGGATGCTGTTAAAGGAAAACCTAGTAGATAATTCACTTTGGTTAAGAGTTTGGGGAATTGCAGGAAAAGAGCTTACTTTTTGACCTAGTGCTCATTATTAGTTCTTTCTGTGCCTTCCCTAAAGCTTGACATGGGTATTCCCAGTGTGAATTTTTTAGCTAATTGGATCAACCAGTAAGGCTAGAAGAACTTCACTTTTTTGAAGCTGAAGGAATTTTGAGAAAAGGCTAGTGGAGTCACTGTGAGTGTGAAAATAACTCACACATAGATCCATTTGATGATGTATCTTTCTAGTATTCCTGGAAGCATGCTAGATATAGGAACTGTTTCAAATGTACAGCACCATCTGAAATCTTTCTTATCTGTGAGACTGAAAAGAAGAACAGTACCTCTTCTCTCAGGTGTTTGCTCTAAAGTTACATTGGTCAAGATGAAGAGACCTTACCCGGCCATACATGTTCTGGTATGCCTCTGTGATCATCAGCCTCTGTGAGTTGCAGCGTTGAGTTAGAATGCTGATCAGCATGTCTTTATCACAGCCTGGAAAAGAATCATAATTGAAGTTTAGTAAAGTCACTACTCTGGAGTTAAGAAGAATCCATTATCTAAGGATTAAAACCAATGTGCAAGCTTTATACCTGATGGGTGCTTTCAAGCAGTGAGCAATTTTAACTAAAATGAGAGAGCCCAGAGAAACACTTGATGAAGCCAAGGTTCTTCCTATCTCTTATTTTGGAGCTATTACTACAGATTGTCCATTTTAAAAGATCCAGTGAAAAATACAGGGAAGTGAAAATACAGTCTTTCCTCAACCACCTCTCCTGCCCCACCCAAAAAGGCTTGCCTACATGGGAACAATATCTTTCTTGTTTTACAGTTGGAGAGATATGACTTATAATGAACATACATGAAGACACAAATACATTAAGACAAAAAGAACCTCCAATAGAAGAAAGAGATATAAAGAAGGAAATTATACAAGTACAAGGGGTGTGCACCCTCCTGGGAGATGGTGTGAAACTCTCATGATTTACAGGGAACATGTTCTCTCCTAACAGAGACTCTGTTTTGGGGCTCCGAAGGCCTCTAGCCCTTGTATACCAGCTCATTGAACTGACATCACACCCAAAGGCACAACTCGGTTAGATACATTTAGCTGTAATTATAGTCATAGGAAAGTGATCAAGAAAGCCTTTATATTTTCCTCACCTCCACTAAAATTTAGATAGGTTTCTTTCTGACCATAGGCCCTTGATCTCCATTTTCTGAGAGCATTTAATTTGGAAAACGTGCAATTGTAAATTATCTCTTTATCTTTTTCATATGTAAGTCTTCTCCCAACCACTTCCCAGTTTTATAGCCCATAAATGCCTTCCTCAAGGACATGGGAGCCATTCCTTTAAAATATAACCATTAGGAACTATAGAGCCACTCTCTCCCCATCTCTTGGAAGGTAGAAACCTAACTTCCATAAGGACCAATTAACAAATACCGATGCCCCAATCACATTGACCAGTGCTCCCAACCCCCTTGTCCTCGAGTGCTTTTCCACCAGCTCACCCCAGGCTTAAAAACTCTTCTGTGTTTTGTTTGGAAGAACTTGAGTTCAATCTCTTGCCTCAGTTGAAAAAAATCTTGATCCCGACTGCAATAGAATTGAATAAAGTCTTCCTTGCCTGTTTAATTCTTTGTGGTACAAATTTTCTTTGGCCAAAGGAGATATTTAATGGAGACGAGAAAAAGAATGAATTGAAAGGCTGGGATGTTAAGTAGATCATCTTTTTGGAAATGAAAGCCATCCTGGATAGCCTCAGGCTCAGGGGAACGCTGTGGGTCAGGTCCTGACTGTGCAGATGAGAAACAAAAGGAAGAGCAAGGTGTTTTCTGTAGATGAGAGAAAAGCTGAAAGCTGGAAAATGGAGGAAGGGAGACATAGAATCACCTTCAAAGACTACTTTATAATTTGTGGGGGAAAAGGCAGCCTCCAGTGAAGAGGCATAGAGTAACATGGTACCATGCGCTCAAAGCCCTAGACTCAAAGGACCTTAAGTAGTTCCATAGGTATCTGTTAGATGTATAATTGGTATTCCAAAGTTAACATGTTTTAAAATAATAAATAGAATAATTTTCAATTCTTTCCATTGTTATTTTTACTATTATCCCATTTATGTAATTACTATTTTTTTAAAAAAATATATTTTTATTTTGATTTCAGAGAGGAAGGGCGGGAAGAGAGAGAGAGAGAGAGAGAGAGAGAGAGAGAGAGAGAGAGAAACATCAATGATGAGAGAGAATTATTGATCAGCTGCCTCCTGCATGCTCCCTACTGGGGATTGAGCCTGCAACCCAGGCATGTGCCCTTGACTGAAATCGAACCTGGGACCCAGGCTGACACTCTATCCATTGAGCCAAACCAGTTAAGCCCCATTTATGTAATTATTAATTGCGGTTTTTTTGTTGTTCTGTTGAGATTATCCACAATCTACATCTCTGAATTACTCTTTATTTTTTCAAAGTGTTCATACCAATTCTTGCTCATTTATTCTTCCAGAGATATTTCAGGAGAATTTTATTAAAAATGTTTAATTAAAATAACTTTATATTTTATACTCTGGAATCAATTCAGAAGAGTTGTCTTTCTGTCACTAACAAGATATATCTGACAAATTATTTTTGTTTTTCCTAAAAGATTTAGTAAAGATTTGTATAATTTTTGTAAATGACAAGAAACTTACTTTTGTTAAAATTATTTATTTTTGCCTTTCTATGAATATTTAAAGTTATTTTTATTTTGTTTCTTAACACATCATTGCTTAAATAAAGAAATGTTATTGAATTTTATGTTTATCTTACATTCAGAAAAATCATTCAACTCATACTTTTTAATAACTTAGTTGATTACCTTGAATTTTGAGATATATATTCTGTAAGTAATAATGATTTCTTCTTTAGAATGTTATGTTTTTCTTTTTCTTGCTTTATTGCATTAGGACAAGAATTTCTAAATAATTTTTATTTTCAGCAGAAAAGCCTGGCACAATGAACCATAGCAAGTTATAGACTTTTATGATGTAGAATTTGTTCCTATTATTTGTGGTAGTTTTCTACAATGTCATGATGAACATCAAATTAGTAAAGGCTGAACTATTGCTCCTGGGAAAAATATTGGATTAGGTTTCTATGACCTTATAGTCACAGCATTTTTGTTAGCAGAAATGCCAATTACATTACATATGCTTGTTCATCAATGTCCTTGTAAAACAGCCCAATCAGCATCGGAAATCTTCTCTTCCACATACACTCCTCCTGCATAAAACTTAGAAGGCATTTTAAATAATACCCTAAGGAGGTATTCTGCAGCTTCCTGCTCTGCAGGGCTTGCCTCATTGAAAGTTTAACAGTTTTTATGCAGTACCATCTTTTGAAAAAAGATGCAAGCCAGCCAGCACTACTTCCCCAAGAAAGCTGAGCATTACCCTTTTTACTATTATTATCAGTTATCATCTCATGAACTCACAAATTTATTTGCTTTTCATAACTTTCTGGCATGCATATTACTTTAGCATATTCTGGACAGCCTCATGCGTAGATCAATAAGTTTTCTCTTTTTTTCTATTATTTCAATAACCAACAAAATGAAAAGGTAGCCCACAGAATGGAAGAAAATATTTGCAAATCATATATCTAATGAGTTAGTATCTAAAACATATATAAAGCTCTCATATAATTCAATAGTAAAACCAAATAATTAGACTTAAAATAGGCAAAGGACCTGAATAGACATTTTCCCAAAGAAGACACACAAATGGTCAACAAATACATGAAAAGGTGCTCAAAATCAATTAGGCAAATGCAAATCAAAAGCACGAGATATCACCTCACACTTGTTAGAATAGCTATTATAAAAAAAAGATGAGAGATGTGAAAAGGGAATCCTTGTGTACTGTTGGTGGGAATGTAAATTGGTATAGCCACTATAGAAAACAGTATAAAGGTTTCTTTAAAGTTAAAATGAGAACTACTAAATGATATAGCAATCCTACTTCTGGGTTTTTATCCAAATAAAGAGAAATCACTGTATTGTAGAGATGTTGCACTCCCATGTTCATTGTAGCAATATTCACATTAGCCAAGATAGGGAAATCACTTAGGTATTCATAAATAGATGAATGGATAAAGAAAATGGGATCTATAATAATAAAAACATAATATGCTAATTAGATCAGACGTCCTTCCAGATGACTTTCTGGATGAAGCCGGGGCTGCTGCTGCGAGGGCCAGGGCAGAGGCCAGTGCTGGCAACCAGGGCTGCAACCTTGGCCCTTGGAGCCCCTTGCACGAATTTTGTGCATCGGGCCTCTAGTATATACATAAGTACACATACACACAGTGAGGTATTATGCAGTCGTAAAAAAGAAGAAAATCCTGCCACTTGCACAACCTGGATGTATCTTGACAGCGTTATGCTAAGTGAAATGAGTCAGAGTAAGACAAATACTATATACTATTACTTGTACATAGAATCTAAAAAAGCTGAACATCAGGTGCCAGGAGTGAGGGAAATAGAGGAATGAGTTATGGGGATCTAATGTACAGAAGAAGACTTCAGTTAACAATACTGTGTTGAATACTTGGGAGTTGCTAAGAGAGTAAATCTAAATGTCTCATCATAATAGCAACAAAAATGGTAATTATGTGAGGTGAAGGATATGTGAACCTTTACTCTGTTAGTCAATTTGTAATTTATAAGTATATCAAATCATCACATTGTGCACCTTCAATGTATATATGTTATGTATCATATCTTTTCTGTCACTTATATCCTAATAAAGCTAGACAAAAATATCACAGCTACTAAGGAAGATATTGGTAATTGTCTTTTATAGCTGCACTTTGCCAGGGTCATTAGAACGGATAAAATTTTAAAGCATTTTTAGCTGTGTCTGTCCTCTGGCCTGCTAGAGTGGACACTGCAATTAAAACCAAAACCTCCTCCATTTCTTCAGCCTAAAACACTCACAAACAAAAAAAAAAATGAGAGTGGTCACAATGAATCCATATTATGTCCCTAAAATTACAGTGGCAGGAAAATTGAAACTGGAGCAAAGAAAATTTTATTCAATGAATAGATTGCTCTGATCTACAGTTTTAAAGCAAAAAGTACTCTCCTGAATAAAAAGTTAATCCATAACTTTTTGTTATCTTATCTCTCTATTTTTTTCTAGTGACTGTTGATATTTTAAAAGGCATGACAGCATTGCAAACTCCTCAATCGACTTTAAAGAACACATTTAAAGTCCTTTATTATTTTCCTATGGGGTTCTGCTAGTGAATAAAACACAAAGTGAATCCAGTTCTCATGAAGGTGACCTTGTCTTTAAAATTAAGAGATTGCTTTCTTATGAAAGGCTGTGCATGTTTTATGCAAGCATTTTCTTTAATGTTGCCAATGTTTTTCTTCATGCTCACCACAAGTCTTCTTAGGATAGCTATTGCTTAACGAAAGTAGATGGATGTTTAACAGCACCATATCATATCTTAAAAATAAATCGTTTTTAAAGACCCCAACAATTTTCCTCCCTTCTCCATATATTTCTTTTCTAAACTTTAATTTCATTCATTGACCATCCATTTATCAATGACCCGCACTCCAGACTCAAAGCTCTGGGAGCTCAGGGACCTAAGGGAGACAAAAGGGACACGTACAATGAGATTAGGGTGCCCAGGGTTAGGCATATCTGGTTGTGTTTGGAGTTCCCAAAGAACGATTCAAAGAGGAAGACTCATTTGAGGAGATTCTTAAAGGAAAAAAATTTGGATGTAAATTAAACAGCATTCAAGGGAGGGGGTTATTGGGCCAGTTTATAGAGATGTGGAAAAGCACTTCAGTTGCGGTGACAGCAGGAAGTTTGATTTAGCTAGAAGTAGAAGTAGCAAAAGAAACAGGCTAGAAAGAAAACAAGGGCAAAGAAGGATGTTTTATGCCAGAATGAGGTTTTCAGGGAGCTCCGGATTTCATTTAGTAGTTAGCGATGAGACATTTAAGGATTTAAGGCAAAAACATGTCAAGATCAGATCTGCAATTGAGTGAGACAAACATCTTCACCATTATTGTCCTAGTCCAGGGGTGGGCAAACTTTTTGACTCGAGGGCCACAATGGGTTCCTAAACTGGACCGGAGGGCCGGAACAAAAGCATGGATGGAGTGTTTGTGTGAACTAATATAAATTCAAAGTAAACATCATTACATAAAAGGGGACGGTCTTTTTTTTCAATAGTTTTATTCATTTCAAATGGGCCGGATCCGGCCCGTGGGCCATAGTTTGCACACGGCTGTCTAGTCTATTATTTTTCTTCTTATTCTACTTCTTTGCCCAGCTTTTAAAAAAGTGTCTTCTGTTAGACATCAGATATTTACACCCATATTACAGTCTTAAAATAAGGTAAAGCAAGAAGTAATTATTATAAAAGATGATAGAAATGATCAAGCTTACCAAATCCTTGGAGCGCCCCCCCCAGCATTTGGGCATCCATGATGGGGTTGAAATTGGGAGCTGGGAAGATGGTTCCTTGCGCCTGCTGGGAAGAGTTCATGAGAACGAGATTGCAGTAATTTGCACGAAAGATTTCAACATTTTTTCCGATAAATGAAAACAAAAGTATGTAAGTACATTCTACATGTTTAAATTGCTCTAAGATACACACATATATCTATAAGTAGAGTATAAGGAATACAGTCAATAATTTTGTAATAAATACATATGGTGCCAGATGGGTACTGGAAATACCAAAGGGGCCATTTTGTAAATATTAAAATGTCTAGTCACTGTGCTATACACCTGAAACTAATACAAAATTATATTGAATGTAAATTATAATTGAAAAATTAAAAATACCTTTGAGGAAAAAAAAGTTAATTGTATGTTACTTGCAGAGAGCAAATTTGGTTGAATTTTAAAAATCTATTTTCTATTATTTGGTATCTGTTATTCATCTAGAAATTGTAGATCTTAGAAACAATAATAGGAAAATGTGATAATCAAATAAATATATATCTTCTTTCTTTAAAAATGTTCACCTGAGGATATAGTCATAGTTTTTTAGAGAGAGGAAGGGAGAGGAGAGAGAGAAACATTGATGTGAGAGAGAAACATTGATTGGTTGCCTCTCATACCCACCCCAACCACCAACAGAATCTGCAACCCCAATTTATGCCCTCACAAGGAATAGAACCTGAGACCTTTTGGTGTACGGGATGATGTTCCAACCAACTGAACCACACTGGCCAGGGCAAAAACATCTACACTAATAAAAGAGAAACATGCAAATTGGTGTCACTCCACTACGCCCACCAGCCAATCAGGATGAGTATGCAAATTAACCCAACAAAGATGGTGGTTAATTTGCCTATGCAGGCGCGGAGTGAAAACTGAAGATGACTGAAGACTGAAGAGGCTTGGCTTCTCCACTGCAGCTGGAATGAAGAAGCCTAGCCTCGCTGCTGCGGCCAGAGCAGAGAAGCCAAGCCTTGCTGCTGCGGCCAGACCAAAGGCCTGGGTCCCAGGTGCCGGAGGAAAACCGGTGCTGGCAGCCAGGGGAAGGAAGGCCCATTGCGTGAATCTTTGTGCAACAGACCTCTAGTATCTTCTTAATAAACAATAAGCATTTTAGGGATTGGATACTATTTCATAGAAACAGAAAAGAGAACTCTATTGGGGGTGTTTATGTAATATATATGAATTAGAAGTGACACTTGCCACTACAGCTTTTTTTTATACATCAGGGCCCTGAAATATTGAAGAAAATTGAAATGCTTGAATTTAGATTATAGGATTCATAAAAATCTAGATGATGTAGTTAGGGTAGAGAATTTTTAGCTGAAGCTTGCAGCTGCAGAGGAAAACATGGAAACCTGACTGACATTTCATTTAAATTCTGTCTCTTGCCAATAATAAAATGGCAGAACATTTAAGTTAGGCTTTCAAACCACATGGTCTGTTATTTCAGACAGAGCCAGCCAGGACTAGGCACCATATGACCACACTCAGCTCACAAGAGCCATCAATCAAAATTTATTAAAGAAGGGGATCTCTCCCCTTGTTTGTTTTCAGTGTGCCCAGAAACATTGGAAAAAATGCCTTTCCACAGCAAACAGCTCTACTGGCCTTGAGAACTCAGGCATTTACCGAGTTCTTCCGCAGCGATAACATCTTAGCTGCAGAGGGAGGTTTCCTGTGCCCATTGTCTAATGGTAGAAAACTAATTAATTAATGAGAGGAAGGCTGGACCATAATTTCTAGTCCCAGAAATATGCCAATACCAAGATATTTATGAAAAGGCTTTTGGAGGATTGTTCACTTGAGTTAAAACTAATAATTAAATTCAGGTTGAATTTCATTTGATTAATATTAACAAACCTGAATCTATTTGAATTAGACTGGAACCATATAATAATTGTGATATGGCCATATTTTCATATTTATAAGTACGACCATGTTAATAAAATATGCTTCTTTTTTAAAAATGTATTTTTATTGTTGATAGTATTACAGATGTCTCCCATCACGCCCTCCCCCTCTTTACTCCTCTCCTCCCAGATCCTCCTCACCTCCCCAGGTCTTCACTACCCTTTTGCCCATATTCATGGACTATACATATAAATATGTAAGTTCTTTGGTTTATCTTTTCTTTTTTAAAAAAAAGAGAGGAAGGGAGAAGGAGAGAGAGAAACATCAATGATGAGAGAGAATCATTGATTGGCTGCCTTCTGCATGTCCCCTACTGGAGATCGAGCCTGCGACCCATGCATGTGCCCTTGGCCAGAATTGAACCTGGGACCCTTCAGTCCGCAGGCTAATGCTCTATCCACTGAGCCAAACCAGCTAGGGCAAGTTTATCTCTTCTTATCCCCCCAACCCCACATCATGTTATGTCAGTCTGTTCCATGCCTCCATGCTTCAGGTCTTATTTTGTTGGTCAAGTCATTTTGTGCATTAGATTCCACAAATAAGTGAGCTCCTGTGATATTTGTCTTTCCCAGATTGGCTCATTTTACTTAGCATAATAATTTTCCAGGTCCATTCATGCTGTCCCAAAGGGTAAGAGATCTCTCATTTTTACACCTGCATAGTATTCCATTGTGTAAATGTCTCACAGCTTTTTTTATCCATTCCTCTACTGATAGCCACATGGGCTGTTTCCAAATCTTAGCTATTGTAAATAAAACTGCTAAGAACACAGTGGTGAAATATTCTTCTTAAATGCCTGTATGGACAGATATATGTAATTAAAGTAAGAGTATGGTATACACGTTATTTTGCTGTAGTGCATGCATGTACAAACTAAAGTCCAGTTTACTTCTAATATCTCAAGTTTATTGGAGATGATGTAGAAACTGAGTTCTCCTGAGCCACTCCTCAATTCTAGAAGCTATGCATTAGGAGACAACAGGAGTTTTATCTTCCTTATTTGCTAACCTGTGTCATTATGTGAGACTATTAGAAAAATGGACTTTGGTTCTTTTTTATTTATTGAGTTTGGATAGCTGGATTTAATGTAAATGCCTAGTTTGAGCTCTCTTCACCTAAAGTGTTTTCTTTTTAACCTATCATCCCAGAAGAATTTAAGATTTAATTTTTTTGAAATAACAGCTATACCATTAAATGTGAAAATGATTTTCTTTTTTGCTATTTGTCACTGCCTTTTACTAAATCCTTTTTGTCTACATAGTTCTTTCTCAGTTTTTTTTCATTGGGAAAATTAGAGTTAGAAGGCTTGTTTGGACAGATTTTGTGTGGACACTACCATTTATTGCCTTGGTGACCTTAATCTTGTTGAGTGCTCTCAGCCAAAGGGCTGTTTTAAAGTATAAAAGAGAAAATATATTTGAAAGCAATGATGTTCCAGTGGAAATCATGTTCTTTCATGGGATCATGAGGAAAGCATTTCGTGGACCCACGTTCGGGAGATTGTGGTATGATAAGATGTATTCGGGTGGACATAGAAGGCTGCCCCAGAGTTTCCAATGTCCCATCCCCATCCATCACACCATGGAAAAAGTCCAACCTGGTCTTCATCAAGGCCAAAACAAAGGCCAGTGTCCAAAGTTTCTTATGTTTATGCAGGTTTTTAACTTCATAATTTACTGTAAATATTAATTGATTTTAGTTATACATATAATAGCTTATTATATCCCCTGTCAATTTATTCAATTATTATTTCTAGAAAGTAAAAATGAACAATTTATATGTATAATAGGCTGTGCTGCATACTATTGTTAGTTTTGCTAGTGTAAATGCAATATATATATACACAACTAATTAAAGGCAGAAGTGATGTTTTATCATAAAACTCTAACAAAGTACCAAAGAATTTGGAGGAAAGAGATAATCTTCAAGTGAAAACTAGAGTTCAAGGGACGGCTTCTTGAAGAGGTTTCATTTGAGGCAAAAATCTCATATTTGATTAACTTTCAATAAGTGGAAATGCATTACTTGGAAAAATAATGTCTTCGGAGGTTCTACTTTATTTCCAAGATAGTTTTATGTGCTTACATTATTCATTTTTTTCATTATATCATATTTTTTCCAGTGTAATTTTCTCATTAAGAATCTAAATAATAACTAAATGCTTGGAATGAAGAGAACAAAATAAAGCTATGAGATACAGTCTTATACATAATGGAAAAACTATATATCTTACTATATATTATTATATATAATATTACATAGTACTAATAATGTTACATTTATATATAATGTTTCTAAGGAAAATGTTATATAAAATAAAGCTATTCATAATTAAACATAAAACAGGCATTATAGATACTAAATATTTTCAATGATAGAGTTTCTATCAACTTTGATTGCTTACACATATATTCTGTATTAGTCCGATAGTTTAGAATTAATTGTCTAAAAATATAGAGAAAAACAGGACATAAAAATGTTTCTTCTTCAGATTATCTTTCTCCAAATAAATAATAGACTATACATAAAGAAGTTATTACATCTTTTAAAAATATTTTTAGAATTATGTTTAGAGATCATTTCCTTTAGAGTAAATCTCTAAAAATCTCCTTTCACATCATGAAATAGTTCTCACTGAGAAATCCTATTCTAAATGGTGTAACACCTTCCTCTGAGTGAAGCGCCAGCCGGATGTTGAATAATGTAGGCAACAGCTCCCCATTTGTTCGTATGACTTTTTAGAAAAGACAGAACACTGGTACCATCATGCAGTGCCTCCTGCTCTGAGAGAGCAGGCACAATACGATCACTTCACCCTCAGGTTGGTCTGAAGCCGTGGTCTGCAAACCGCGGCTCGAGAGCCACATGCCGCTCTTTGGCCCCTTCAGTGTGGCTCTTCACAAAATACCACGTGCGGGCGCGCATGTACAGTGCGATTGAAACTTCGTGGCCCATGCGCAGAAGTCGGTATTGTGTGGAAGAGCCGGTATTTTGTGGAAGAGCCACACTGAAGGGTCCAAAGAGCCGCATGTGGCTCGTGAGCCGCAGTTTGCCGACCACTGGTCTGAAGGATTTTCCAGGAGCTGAGAGCACAGCATAAATCAAAGTGAATAAGAAGAACCTGTA